CAACACCTCAATGCCATCAAATCGGAATCATTCCAAACATTGGCTCTTCGAAATTGTAAAGGAAGTATTTTGAATTATTGGACAAATCCATTCCCGAACGTGTCCACCTTTTGGTTTACGAGCAGTTCAAAAGATAAGCTCGACATAAAAAACGACAAAAAATTGCACTAACTCCTCCCGAAATTGAAAGCGCTAGAATTGGGTTACACAAAAGCGTCTGACTGGGGATTTTTCGGTGATGACCATAAAGATTTGGTGACTTTCAAAGTAGAACTACAAAAGTTAAAGAAGCAAAAGCGACCGGATGAAACACACGTTTTGAATCTATTGACAAATAGTAAAAAAATTAAATGGCTTGGCGTTGAAAACACCAATTTAAAACTATTGAAAGGAGTGAAGGATCTTTTGCCAGGATTAAGAACTCTTAGACTTAATTCGTTATCACAACACTACTTTGATGACCAAATCGAAAAAATTGAATTCGATAACATCAAAGTTCTAACGATTGCAACCGAAACGGATCAAATTCCCGACAAAACATTCTTCAACGGACTTGAGAGCATTTCATTGAATTTTGCACCGAAGTCCATCAACAAAAAATGGTTCGAATTCGTTTCGCAAAAAATCAAGAACTATGCGGTCAATTCATTTGAACTCGCTTCGCAAACACTGTCACATGAAGATCCTTTGAAAATTGCCGACAAGTTAACACATTTGAAAAGCATTCAGATTAAATCGTCATCCAAGTTCTCAGCTAGTGAAATTGAGGTGTTTGTTGGCGACAACAAAGAGTTGAAATCACTGTATATGGATATTCAAATGGATGGAGCCGAACAAACTCAATTCACCGAAGAATTCAAGAAGCGTTGAGAAGTTACGGTGGACCAGATAGACTCAAAAACAACGCATATAGTGATTACCAGGTAAATACAAAGACGATTAAACGACAATCGCTTTATTTGAATTACTCATTTTCTTTCCTTTTATGAGTGTTTTTTCCTTAAAAAATTTTATTCTAATTATTTTTTCAGACTACTCCTGCTTCGGATTGCTCTTTGAAATCATTGGAAAAGCTCAACTTCAACCAGTGACAGTTTTTCGTTAGCTTAGCCTTGGTTTACACCAACCACTAGTGTCTAAATTAGACAAAAGTATATTATTAATATATATGTTGAACAAAAGATAGCGCTGTTCCGATTAGGCATATAAGGGCTATCGCGCCAATATAACGAGCGGTAATAAATCATTGTATTGTCAAACCATTGGTGCTGTGCGTCGCACCTATCCATAGGTGTGATGTACGGAATAAAAGTTAGTTACCGTCTACATTCCAACTAAACCAGACGTTTTTTATTTACTTGCTCTACCACTTGATTGCAGCCGTTAACAACTAGTGTAAACGAATCGTTAACCAGCTATCTGTGTGAAATGAGTACATTCAATGTACAATTCAGCCAGTCTTTTGGCGGTGTAAATAAAAAATAAAACATGATTTTTTCATTTGAGTATTCTGATTCAAATCATACAAATTAAAATAAAAAAATTAATTCTTACAAAACACTGACT